AAACCTGCCCGATGAAATTAAAAAACGACGTGTATTAGCATCACGAGAGAAGTTGAGTAAATGAAATTAGTTTTTTTGGCAAATTAACTTACGTTAATTCATGTGAAACCTCTTATAAAATAGTCATCAATTTTTTTTCTCACTCACTCAATTTTTTACATTTTAAATAACCAGTTGGACCTGGAGAATCTTTTATTCTAGATGACTTTAGTAGCAAAAAATTGAGGGTGAAATATCCAGGATTCTTCTAGACTTTTTAACATTTTTGAATGAAACTTTCGGTGCATTTGTGAAAAATTTTCATTAGACTATTTTTTCGGTAAAATTTCAAGGGATTTCATAATTTAAAATTCACAATTTAAAGTAAAAATTAAGAAAAGCTATAAATTTGAAATTCATTTTCTTGAAAATGAATACAAGTCAGGAAAATTTCATTGAATTTCCACTGAAATTCCATGTGTTTTTTAATACTCTATTTCTTAATTATATTAATTAATTATAGGACAAAATTTCCCCGGAGCAAATTTGTAAATACAGTATCAACATTCACGTGAGGAAAAACGTAGATTTTAGCGAAACTCGACTGTCCCTGTGAGAAAATCCAAAATCTGACCCTTGGTCCAGGTGAAAATGAAAATTAATTATGAGCATTTTATAGCACGAAAGTATCGTTGGTCTCCCTCGAGGAGAAAATGCGAAATGAAAAAAAGCCTAACAAATTTAGTTGACATTTGTGAATAACAAAGCCGTCGAAAATACGGAAACATTAGATTTATTCACTGGAAGAACGTTTTTAGATTATTATTGTTCCTTTACGATCAGAAGAGACTTGTGTGTTTTGTAATTTTATTCGTCCCTCCTCTGATTGTTATCCACCAATGAAATCAACAATTAAAGAATAAAAAATTGATATTTTGGGGACTCACCGGTCGTTGAAACACCCGGCGTCAGCTTGGCATATATTCCAATCCAACTCCAACAATTCCACTTTTCACGTTGATCCTTCTCTATTCGTGCAGTACCAAAGGCCGGCCGCCATGATGGATGTGCGCAGAGAAGTTGCGCACTAGCCATGTTTTTGGCATTTGCACTTTTTCTACGTCTCGATTCTATAATAATGCAATAATACAGTCTGAGTTTTTGTGATAAAATCCTTTCTCGCCATGAATGTCAACTGATTATTGCATGAAAAATAATTATTTCCCCGGTTTAATCCCCTTTCTCACCGAAAATCCGCGGACGAACGCCAAACCCTGCAGCCCCTGCCAGTGGCCAGCCGCCATGATGGATGTGCGCAGTGAAGTTGCGCAGTAATGATGTTTTTGACATTGCACTCTTTATACGTCTCGATTCTGCAATAATGCAATAATAAAGTCTGATTTTTTGATAAAATCATTTCTTGCCATGAATGTTAGCTGATTATTGTATTATTAATAATTATTTCCCCGGTTTAATCCCCTTTCTCACCGAAAATCCGCGGACGAACGCCAAAACCTCCATCCTCTGCCAATGACCCGCCGCCATGTTGAATGTGCGCGGAGGAGTTGCGCAATAGCGAAATTTGGCATTCCACTTTTTAGAGGTGTAGGCTTCATAATATGCACTCATAAAGTCTGATTACTTGATAAAATCACTGCCTGCCATGAATATTAACTGATTATTGCACTATTAATACTAATTTCCCGGGTTTAATCCCCTTTCTCACAGAAAATCCGCAGACAAACGCCAAACCCTCCATTCTCTGCCAGTGGCCAGCCGCCATGATGAATGTGCGCGGAGGAGTTGCGCAATTGTGCGCAATAGCGAAATTTGGCATTGCACTTTTTAGAGGTCTAGGCTTCATAATATGCACTAATAAAGTCTGATTACTTTATAAAATCACTGCCTGCCATCAAAATTAACTCATTATTGCACGATTAATAATTATTTCCCCGATTTAACCCCCTTTCTCACTGAAAATCCGCGGACGAACGCCAAAACCTCCATTCTCTGCCAGTGGCCGGCCGCCATGATGAATGTGCGCGGAGGAGTTGCGCAATTGTCATATGTTTGGGATTTATAATGATAGTATACGACAATAAACTCTAATTTATGAATTGTCATTCTTTGATCAACTATTGTATAATGCCCATCACAATTATGACACCCCAATTCCTTAATTTCGATATTAAACTGCAAAAAACATTTGCGGTGGGTGGCAAATTGTGACTGGCGTCTGCTGGCGACTCCTATATATTGTATACTATATCAAATTCGCTTATTTGAATGTCAACGGACAGATACTGCTACAATTGAGAAAAAAACACGGTTCAGACAAAGTGCTGCTTCCCAGGAAATTTTTTCCGGGTAAATTTTCGTTGGGGGAAATTTACATATGAAAAGACATTGTTTTATTTGTTCCTCGTAAGTAAAGGAATCGTTTGTTCGTTGTTTGCTCGTCCTAAAAACACTGTTACTATTTTGAATAATCGCAATTTTTTATTATTTTCTTTCAATTGATTATCATTATACCTTATGATACTGTGAATTGTCCTCTGCTTCCATCTCGTATGAAATTTTTGAACCCATCTTTCCACTTGGAAATGGCCTTGAGGCACAGGTTATACAAAATAAAAAACCGACGGGGACTCCAAGAATAAAAAAAAAAAAGCTGCAGGCGGATCTCGCTCTCACATTGTGTGAAAGGCATCCGCTCACGTTGGGCTTTCCTCAAGTTAGTGCTTGCAGTGATTCTACTCCCATGATCTTCGATGAACATCTCTATACGTGGACCATACGGTGGTATCCGGCAGCCCCAGGTCAACGAAATATCCCGTTGTCTTTTTCACCTTTTTTGGAGAGAAAAATGTCTACAAATAAAGTACCTCAGTTTATCCCACTACTGTAACTCATTATTTTATCTCAGTGAACGATTATTTTTTTATGAGAAAAATGACCGTGGGATAATTGAAAAGCATATTTCATTTGAGGAGGGTGGATCAATAATAAAATAATTAATTTTTAATTATTAAATAAGCCAACGAGTGATTCTGAAATATACGAGAAAAAAAATCAGCGTGGAGATTGGAGGAAACGAGGTGAGTCCTTTATACAATCTATATGGCATAACTGTAAACTGTCATTATATAGGATGGAATAATGTGTGTCACATACCTACAACAGAGAATTTTAAGCTCTGACGCGCATGACTTATCTTCGAACCAAGAGACAAACAATTGATATATATATATATATATATATATATTATATATATATTTTTTTTCAAGTTTCATCAATTATGCTACCTTTGTGAAGATAATTTATTCGATTAATATATTAATGTAGTAAATTGTCACGTTTGGATAGAGCTAGTTTTGTGTGAAGACACTTGTAAGCAGCTGTCAAAAAAGAAATAATTGTCTTTTGAAATTTCCTAGTTTTTATTCATATATAGTATATTCATTGAATTTAACCACGAATCAGTGGAATGGGACCCTTTTTATGTTGAATTTATATGGAGAAATTTCTTGTCATTTTGAATGATGATAAGAGTAATCGCCTAGTTTTAACTTATTCACAATTGAAAAATGTTAAATATTCCTTGGTAGGGAAGGGCCGGGCAAAATCTTCATTTATAATTGAAGATATTGACAATCAATATCCCCTAGGCATTTATATGAAAATCAAAAAATTTTACCGGATAATGTCCAAAAATTTCATCTTTTAACTGACTGAAAGTATTCGGAGAAAAAATATTTCTTCAATTTTCCATTTTCCATAGGATTTATTTGCTCCTTCTCTCCCTACTCTTTAGTGACTTGTCACTTGTCACACCAGCGCAATCATGGAAGGACCAGAAGTTACATTTTTGTTTCAATTTGGACTGTTGCGTGATACTGTTAGTGCAGAGGCACGTACTTTAACACTAAAAGGACTTAAGGAACACGCCTGTGAATTCATCAATAGCAAGTGCCCGGATCATGGACTCACTCAGCTGTTTGAGAGACTCTTGTTATTCAAGCATGATTATAATTCAACAAATATACTTCATTTGATTACAAATGCTATTGAAGTAGTTGATGAGACACTCGTGGAGATTGTACTCAGTGGTAAAGGAAAACTTTTATTATCTTGATTATTTTTCTTCTTCTTCTTCTTCCTCCTCGAATTCGATTCTATTGCATTCCATTTAATTTGAGCGATATAATATTTTTAGCACAAATACCAACGGAGGAAGTTGTCGTCCGACCACACGCCCTGTCTGTTCACTCCTACAAAGCACCAACTTTTTGTGATTTCTGTGGAGAAATGCTTTTCGGATTGGTTAGACAGGGATTGAAATGCGAGGGCTGTGGAATGAATTACCACAAACGTTGCGTTATAAAAGTCCCCAACAACTGCATGCAGGACACAAACCGACGCAGACGTAGCTCAACATTACTCAACGTTCCAAGATCCCCCAGTCAGGGGTCAACCAGCAGTTTGACGAGTGCCAGTGATGATAATCAGAGTGCTGGCACATCGTCCACAACAAGTTGTAATAACACGAATTTATCAATACCATCGATAATAACCCCAAAACAGTCACGTTCACCTTCTCTCGGTGGAAGACCCGTTTGGGTTGAGCGAGAAATGGCTATGAGAATTAAAATTCCCCATACGTTTGTTTTACATTCGTATACGAGACCGACTGTTTGTGGTTATTGTAAAAAGTTGTTACGTGGACTGTTTAAACAGGGGTTGCAATGCAAGGATTGCCAATACAATGCCCATAAGAAGTGTATTGAGAAAATACCCAAGGATTGCACCGGGGAGAATCCCAAAGATATTGGAGGTGAGAGATACAATTACTTTCAAGGGAAATCTAATACTTTAACAGACATGTCAAGTTTTTTCCAAGTTTTAAAATGTGATATTTATCAATAACTAATCTCAATCATATTCATTTTAGGCATATTTCATTCAGACTTTTGTTCTTTTTTTAATCATTAATATCTGAGAATAAACCGTGGATAATGAAATTTTTTTAGTTTATTTTATCTACAGCTCTCCCTCTGCTGAGAAAGAAAAAAAAGAGGTATCTAAAAAAAATGTACCCTTTCTTTTGAATTTGCTGATTTTTTTTTTATTGCAGAATCATTTGACATGTTTACTCATCTCGTCCATCTCACTAGTTGACTAGAATGGTTTTTTTATTTTTGACATTTATGAGCAGGTAACGAATACACAGATAGTGATGTTGGCAGCGAGCCAGAGAGCAGATGTGACGGAAAAAATGAAGAGGGGGATGGAGATAGTGATGCTGAGTCTCCGCCAAGAAAATCACACATTTTTTACGGGGATGATGGGGAAAATCAGGTCAATGGCGAATATAATGTAAGTGTTCTGCATTCAAAGATAATTCGTGCGAGCTAATGATGGTTTTTTTTTTTTTAATGTGCGTTGACAGAATCAGCTACCCAGTCATGATGATGGATCTCCGGATGATTGTAGGAAGTCTCAACCGTCTAGGTGAGTTTGGCCTTTTTTAAATTGAGAAAATTCTCTCAAAATCACTCGTTTATAAGGATACAGAATATTGTCGATAAAAAGTTGCCTTTTCTCTGGGGAGGGGACAAAAAAAACCAAGTAATAAACTAGAATGAAAAGAATTTTTTTTCATTTTCAGTTGTAGTTCAAGCCCCAGCAACAATATTCCTCTAATGCGAATCGTCCAAAGTATAAAACACACTAAGCGCCGTGGCTCGAAAGTATTGAAAGAAGGATGGATGGTTCACTTCACAAACCGCGATCGGATGAAACGCCGACACTATTGGAGGCTGGATTCCAAAGCAATAATGCTATTTCAAAGTGATACTGGATCAAAATACTACAAAGAAATACCTTTAGCTGAGATATTGGGTATAGATACGGTTAGGCCACAAATAACCCCTGATTCTAATCACTGCTTCGAACTTCGGACTGCAAATGTTGATTATTATGTGGGAGAAGATCCACTCAAAACGGATTCTAATGCACAATTACCACCGCCTGAAAGTGGTATTGGAGCGCATTTGGCTAGATCCTGGGAGACCAGTATTCGTCATGCTTTGATGCCTGTTACCAATAATTCTAATAGCAGTGAGTACTAGTGGTAGTGTACAACCCATTAATAAATAAAATGAAATAAAATAAAATAAAACGATTAAGATTAATAATTCCATTTAATTGATATTTGATTAATTGATCTTGAAAATGATTTATTCTTAGAATAAAAATATTATATAATAATTCCAGACGAAAATCAATCGAGTGAAGCTGAAGACTCAGTAACCGATATGTCCCAAATATATCAAATCTTTCCCGATGAAGTACTCGGCTCTGGACAATTTGGAATTGTCTACGGAGGGACTCATCGTAAAACTGGTCGAGCAGTTGCGATAAAAGTAATTGACAAGCTTCGATTTCCCACAAAACAAGAGGCACAACTTAAAAACGAAGTAGCAATCCTACAAAATTTATCCCACAGCGGAGTTGTCAACCTTGAGAGAATGTTCGAAACTCCAGAAAGAATATTTGTCGTAATGGAGAAGCTCAAAGGTGACATGCTGGAGATGATTCTAAACTCTGAGCGTGGAAGACTCAGCGAACGCATTACAAAATTCCTCATAACTCAGATTCTAGTTGCACTAAAACATCTGCACAGTAAAAATATCGTTCATTGTGATCTCAAGCCTGAAAATGTTCTCCTCAGTAGCAACAATGATTTTACGCAAGTGAAATTGTGTGACTTTGGATTTGCCAGAATCATCGGTGAGAAGAGCTTCAGAAGAAGTGTCGTGGGTACTCCAGCCTATCTTGCACCAGAAGTATTAAGAAATAAAGGATACAACCGATCATTGGACATGTGGAGCGTTGGCGTTATTGTTTATGTTTCCCTGAGTGGAACTTTTCCGTTTAATGAAGATGAGGATATTAATGAGCAAATTCAGAACGCTGGATTTATGTATCCACCGCACCCATGGAAAGAAATATCTTCTGACGGTAAATATGCTTTTTTCTAATCATCATCATTTACTAATGGGTTTATTCTTTTCTTTTTCCTTTTGCAATGAAATGGGTGTGTTGGATTTTTTTCTAGCCATTGACTTGATTAATAATTTATTGCAAGTCAAGCAGAGGAAGAGATTCACCGTTGATAAAAGTCTAGCACACGTTTGGTTACAGGTAAAAATGTTAATAACAATAAAATATTGTCTACTAAGATTACTCATAAATCATCAAAGACCAGTATTTCCTATAAATGTCACTTGCCAGGATTATCAAACATGGTGTGATCTTCGTCAACTAGAAGCACAAGTTGGCTGTCGTTACTTGACTCACGAGAGTGATGATGCCCGTTGGATGGCACATGAGGAGGTTCAACAGACATGACACGACTACCTGCCTAAAATCAACATCGAATCTTCAACATTCTCACATCCATTCCACAAAGGTTGGGCTCGCTCAGCTCGAGCCACTCTACGTCGATTCATTCGTGCCTGAATTAATCATTTCCAGCAATAAGAAAGAAATATTTCCCCCTTATGCACCTATTGACAAATATTTTACCAACGATGTATCAAATTTTAAGTTTAAGTTCAAAAATTCAAATCGTGTTTTCTACAGTTGTATTACCATATCACTGATGAGAACCAATAATGGAATTTGAGGAGCAGCTGAAGTAAAAAAAAAATATATATTCCTGAAAGGCCTGTAGAGATTTTAATCAACTTGAATCATCGCTCTTGCTTCTTCTTCTTCTTCTTCTTCTTCTTCTTCGTCTTCTTACAGGATTAAAAACTTTTAAATGTTCCAAATCTAACTGTACATTCCATCTAAGAAATCAATTGGGTTGGTGCATGGAATTTTTTTTATTTGATAAACTGATGACATTTATAAAAGTACCAATTTTGTCAGACAGCTCCTTGTGTCAAGGGATTTTTTCGAATTTGTAAAAAAGCTTCTTATAGAAAAAAAATTGCAGATATTAATCTAAAACTAAGGCCACCACTTAACTAATATATAATTTACAATGTATTTAATCACATGTTGAGAGATAGAATTTAAATTTCATAAGATTCATTGTTGTTCGCTCGTGCGCATTGTAAATTATTCACCGCGATTTTTCGGTATTTATTGCAATTTTTGTATAAAAATTATGAATGGAGATTGAGAAATACATTGCTAATGGACAAAATGAAAATTGCTAATTACTAGGAGAAGTAATTATAGATTTATGAATAACATTCCATTTTAGATTGAGCATTTTAGTAATTAATTCATGGATAAAGTAACCTGACAATATTCGAATAGGGCATAAAAATTTGAGCTCAAACATTCACCCAGCAAATTGGACAACTAAAATCATTATGCTATTATTGATTGATTGAGTTGTATTTTTTTAATTTCATTCTCTGATAACAGTATAATGATAATCAAACGAATTGATATTCTGCAAAATTTTAAATTGTACCAAATAACAGAGATTCGTTTCTTTTCATGACAATTAATATTGTTTTTATCTCGGCTATGATTCCATTTATTGATTTATTAATTTTTATCAATTTTAATTGCGACTGGTTGTGGGATCTGATACTACTATTTTATACGCTGTGTTTTTTATATGGGAAATGTACAAGTACGTTGTGAAATATTCTTTATTATTATTATTATTATTATTATAAAATATGCAATAAATAAATACTGTTTAATCCATCAAAATATTAATTTTGAAATGAATTTTAAAAATACAGTATTTCATCCAGGTATCAACTATTTGAATGTGTTATTTCATTTGGTTTCTATGATATAATCTCAGAATTGAAGAAATTTTTTTTATAAAGATAATTGATTTATCATCATGAGAAAATTTCGCCATGTCTCTTAGATTAATTTTTTTATCATAAAACTTGCATTATGTTTGTAATGGAAAACGAAGCATATTAGTTTAGAGAAGAAAAGAGAATGTGGAGAAGGGCTATAGAATAGAAAACAGTGAATTCTTGTTCCCGAAAAGCCCTCAAGCATTTCTTCTTTTGTATGATATGTCAAAGTGCTCATGTTCTGATAATTAGAAAATATTATTCATTGCCGAGACTCTTCTGCTCCTACCTTAGACATCAACACTCGCTAATTATAAATAATTGTGCGTAAATAATAAATACTGGAAAACTCAAAATATTATTGCTTACATTGAATGTTTATTCACTTTGCGATAAGCATGTAATTGGCCGAATAATAAGCCATTCCAATACAAAAAGTCAAACAAAAATTTTCTAATCTAAATTTAAAAAAAGTATTGAGCTATTCGTTTTCAAAATGAATTACTAAAATATTTGAGCAGTCGAAATTAATTCGTTACCTTTGACGATTTTGTTTCTGAAATTTTTCCCACCTTCTTCCCTGATGTGACACTTGCAGCTACTGGAAATAATTGCTCTTCTTCAAATGCGTCATTCTGTGTCACAGAGTAATTCGGTCAGTCGTCGAAATCGTTTACAACAGCGAGTTGCTATATTATAAAGAAGAATGATACGCATACCAAAATAACTATGAAGAAAACTTTTACCGCAATTATTAAAAAACGTATTTGTACAGTTGCAAGTGTTTCTGCAATAAACAGGTGGTAAATAGAATTCAACTCATTTGTTCCTGAATGAGTTTATCTCAATCATCCAATACTAATTTCCAAAGTCATTATGAGATGATGATGATAATAATAATAATAGTAATGAGCAATAATTGATCTGTGAAGAAAAAAAAACAAGCTACAAATCCAATCTCGCATTAATTTCCTCTTATTATAATTTACTCGAAGATGTCTATTGGAAACATCTTAGTAATAACATGGATGTGGTTCCTTATTTTTGGGGGAAAATCATCAATGAGTGAGTGGATAGATATACCGGAATTTTCAGATGAATCCAAAGTTTATAGAGTATCCTTCAATAAATACGAAAGGAACAAAATTGCTGAGCGACACTCGAACAGTGATAATAAGTATGCTTTTCACACTTCTGATTTTTATAATGTGGGGAATGCAAAAGGAACAACAGATAATCCTTTTTTCAAATTTCCAACTACAACATTGAAAGATGACCTGACGACGATTGTTGTTTCTCAAGTAATTAGTTATAAAAAAGTAAATGACTCTGCGACAAATTTGAATAAAGTGACTGGAGATGATAACAGTAAAGATGATGATGATGGAGTAGTAACTGAAGAACATGATGAAGAAACTACAACAGAAAATCCAACTATTTCGAGTGAGAAACCATCGGATTTGCCAGAATCAACGATAAATGACGGAGGAAAATCTTCACTTGATTATTTACCCGTGGATTTATTCAAACAAGTCCATCGGATGCTTTTGCAAAACAAACAGACGAGTATCAAAGGAAAGTTTGATTTTTTGAGGAAATTTAAATACGCATTGTTGAAAGAGATAGGTATCCAATTAATAGCTTAATTTTACTGTGATTTTTCATTCTGCTGTTACAGAGAGTAAATGAAGCTTTTTTTTTTTGTCTAGAATCAAGGCTTGCTGCCTTGATAGGTCCCACCGCTCCCACCAGGGTGAAAAGAGGGTCTGGCTGGGATGACGATCATGTCGGGTTTCCCTCAGTGGAAGGCGCATTACTCGCAATATCTTTCCTGACATTTGCTGTTTATCTTGTGCAATTAGTAATGGTAAATGATGATAAGAGAGATGAGAAACAATACATTGTTTTAAAAGCTTTCAGTTATACGAGTGATAAACTCTGTAATTACTCATATCAATCTGACATTTTTAATCAATTGTTGATTTAATAATAAAAAAAAATACTACTAATTGTTTCCATAATTTCCAGATGTTATTCAGAAATCTGGCAAACAATTCATCGGCAACGAGTACAGTATTGGTCAATAGAAATAAACGATCAACTGCTATCTCCGAAGAGACTGTGAGAATTCTCCAATATCTTGAGGAATTCACAATGAAACAAAAAAATACCCATTAAACAATAATAATGTATAGTAAAACTAATAAATCTTGATCCACGATATGCCTCTATTCGTTTCCCTCACGTCGTCTCATTTTAAAAATAATAATAATAACCCATATTTACTGGAAAGAGCGTACTTTCACTCTGACTAAAATTCTTCAAAAGAATTCAATTCCCTCCTCTCATAAGTATAGATGAAAAATTTATTTTATCTCTACTGTAACTCGGTGTGAAATTATCTCTCTCTCTCTCCCCCTCCCCCTCTCTTATCATATAATACGTGGCTGCTTGTGTGCTCTTTATTTTATTATAATACCATATAAATATGGATTACAATCGAATTGACAGTATTTCAAGGTCGCAACATCCTAACAATCATTCAGGCAAAATACAATATGGGACTGCTGGTTTCAGAACAAAGTAAGAAAACAATTGATTAAAAATCAAAATTGATGATTTAAAGGGGATTTGTTGGTTAGAGAACTACCTGTCAGTAGAAACATCAATCATAATAATTGTCTTGTTTTTCAAGAGATGAAGAAAAATCTTTTTTTTTTCTCCGCATTTGAATTTTGTTTCAGTTCGGATGCCCTCGATCATGTTTTATACCGTATGGGAATTCTCACAGTATTGCGATCCAAATTGAAAAATGCAGCAATTGGTCTAATGATTACTGCAAGCCACAATGAAGAACCTGATAATGGTGTCAAACTCGTTGATCCCGCTGGCGAGATGTTGGAATCCTCCTGGGAGGACATTGCCACTCATCTCGCCAATGTTCCAGACTCTGAATTAGTCAGCACCCTCAAGAAAATTGTCAACGAGCAGAATATCAATGAAGATACACCGGCGAGTGTAATTATAGGTAGAGACAGCAGAGAAAGCGGTTGGGCTCTGTCGAGATCTGCCATTGATGGAATCAATGCAGCCGATGGATCTATCCAGGACTTTGGCATCATTACGACTCCTCAATTACATTATTTGATTGTCTGCAGTAATACTAATGGAGCTTATGGGGAGAGCAGTGTTGAAGGCTATTTTTCGAAACTTGGAGATGCATTTTTAAGGGTCAAAGAGTCCAAGAATAAAGATATTTATTTGGGAGAAATTTATTTGGATGCTGCCAATGGAGTTGGAGGAATTGCTGCCAAGGAGTTTCAAAAAATTTTGGATGGCAACTTGACAATTAGGGTTTTTAATGATGGAAATGGAGCATTGAATTACAAAGTAAAGAGGAGCGATCAAAGTTGATAAAAAAATTATTTAAAATAATTAATAAATTCTTTAGATTTTCCTTGTTTGTTGGTTTATTGGTTCGTTTGCAGTGTGGAGCTGATTACGTTAAAGTACAACAACGTCCACCCCTCAATAGCCCAGTGAAACCATTTACGAGGTGCGTGAGTATCGATGGAGATGCTGACAGAGTGGTTTATTATTACATAGATGAGTGTGAAAAATTCCACTTGCTCGATGGCGACAGAATAGCCACATTGACTGCTGGTTATCTCAAAGAGCTTGTTGAGGAGAGTGGCTTGAATATTCGGCTTGGGTTGGTGCAAACAGCATATGCTAATGGAGCTTCAACCAATTATATTTCTCAACTACTGGTACCTATATTATTATTATTATTTGAATATTTTTTACCAAGCAAAGCATTTTTTTTTCATTTTCTGGCTTCATTGTAGAAAGTTCCAGTTGTTTGTACCGACACTGGAGTTAAACACTTGCATCGTAAAGCTCTGGAATTTGATATAGGAGTATATTTTGAAGCCAATGGACATGGCACCGTAGTAGTGAAGCAAAATATCCTTGAGATGATAACAATAGCCTCACAAACAAATAGGTAAATATTCAAATAATTCTTTTTAAAAATGATATTTTAGGACAATTTATAAAAAACAAAACTACTTGTCAGCAGGAGCCTTGCAGAGAAATGTCAAACAGCAGCATTAAAACTTAAAAATCTCATTGACATAGTCAACCAGACTGTTGGCGACGCACTCAGTGATATGCTTCTGGTAGAGGCAATTCTCTACGCCAGAGGCTGGGATGTCACTACGTGGGAGAAGAGCTATGCTGATTTACCCAATCGACAACTCAAAGTTAAAGTACAGGATAGAAATGTTATTCAAACTAGTGATGCAGCAAGAAAATGTATCTCCCCTCCAGAACTACAGGATAAGATCAATGAATTGGTGGCTCGTTATCGTAAAGGACGCGCATTTGTTCGGTAAATAATCTATTAATTAAGTTTAATTTACTTGATTGTTTCATTTCAAATGTAGTACAATTCCCTTAGCAATTAATTATTTAATTGGCAGGGCATCTGGTACGGAAGATGTTGTAAGAATCTATGCAGAATGTGATAGCCCCACGGATGTGGAGAAACTCGCTGCTGAAGTGGCATTGGCAGTTTACAGACTAGCAGGCGGTGTTGGATCAGAGCCCATTATTCCTACTTAGTTATTAATTAATTAAGAGAATGGTCAAGTTATAAAAATAACTTTGTGTCAAGTGTCTGTCAATCAACTTTATGTGTGGATATTCAAACTATTTTTATATAGAATAAAATAAAATAAGTAAAATCAATAAAATAATTGTAACTGCGTTGTTATTGTTGTCGTCGTCCTCGTCGTCGTCCAGCTGTCGACATGACGACCATATCGATCCCCCCCCCCCCCCCCCCCCC